TCATTTTATAAGAAAAAAATAATATATGCACATATTTTTGCATAACAAAATGTGCATTTATTATTTTTTCCTGCAGGAGCCTGGAGAGCATTGCATCCATGATCAATGGATCAGGGGTACAATGTCAGTTTTCTGCAGACAAGTCCTGCAGCTTTGAGCCCAGACCTGCATACAGGCTGTCAGTTAGAAAGCTGCAAGGGTTGTGAATGAACTACAAGAGTGCTCATCATGCACCCTTGCAGGCCATTCAGAACTACAGGCCATCAGCCACAGTGACTGACAGTAGTTGTAGCCTGTCCATTTACAGGAAACTGAATGAATGGTGTAGCTGTGGGGGTGGAGTCCCACACAGTCCTTCTGTTTTTGAATTGTGACAGCAGGTGCAGTGAGAAGATCCCCTGCCTGCTGTCACACTGAGGAGGGGATCGGGGGGGAGACTGCAGGAGCTGCAACATGTTACATATTCCACCCTAAATATAGGCGTAATGTGTAATGTACCAAAGGTGCCAATGTCAAAAAATTTCAAATCGAAGTGTAGCTAAAATAGAAAACAGGAAAATCAGCACAAGGGACATTATTTACAGTCAGTGGATTAGATCCTTTGTGCTTACTCCTTTTCGGTTAGCAGAAATCTTCCTCTTTTCATGCCCCCCATTCTCTCCGCTATAACTTTTTTGTTGCAGCAGGGTAATGCAACCAAGGTGCTCTCACAGACTCTCATCAAGAGAGCCTGACTATGCCCACTCTTTCCACCCAGCTGCTCCATAAATAAAACAGGATCGGTGAATGAAGGGGCAGGGCTATCAATCATCTGCCTGTCCTTCATTCTTAGATTGCTGTTCAAATCCTTTAGACCTCAGATCACCCCCCCCCCCCCCTTTCATCTTCAACCTCTTCAGACCTCAGATCAGCTCCCTTTTTCCCCCATAACCTCATTCCAACCTCAGATCACATCTTCCCTTTCTTTCCTAACCTCTTTCAAGCCCCCCAGATTACCCCCCCCCCCCCATCTTCCTTTAACTGCTTCAGACTTCAGGTCAATCACACTTTCTCCTTATGTCCTCCAAAACATTGTTAGACATCTGCCCAGTGGCACCAGAGAACATAGCTATCATAGGCTTCCCCTGTGACTTTGTCTTATGACAAAGCATCATATGACCAGAACAAAAGAAAATATGGATGGGCTGCCAACTCTGCCCTGGGGCCCCGACCAGGCTGCTGTCCTAGGCCCCTTATCAGCTGCTATTGTGGTAATTCTGCAAGGGGGTAGAGAGGAAGAAAGCACAGATCCACAGAATGAATAATGCAAAATTAGATAGATCCTTGCATTTTAGGTCCTAAGGTACATCTTCCAATCCAGTGAGAACAGTGAGCAGCACAATAGTGACACCACTAATCTCCACTCCAAATCTTTTGACAATGTCAAAGGCACAGTGCCATAGGTAATCTCACACTGCAGATATACAAACATGAGGTTCAGCCCTCATGCACACTTGATGTTTTTACAGCTGCTGTTTTTGGCTTTTGACATTTTTTACTACAGCTAGTAAACTCCCCAGCATGTTATCCTATGTGTCCATGCACACATAGACTGTAATCAACATTTTTTGGCTGGAACCCCCCCACCCCCCAGAACTACTGGGTTTCTAGAGGAGTATGTTAGCTGTAAAAATGCTCTAACATTGAAAAATGCAGTAAAATGCTGCAAATCGGCATTTTTGAAATTTTTTATTTTTTTTAAAAACCTGCTAAAAACGTGGGAAAACGCTGTTAATAGCGGCAAGACGCCACTAAACGCTAATGCAAAAATGCTAAAAAAAAGCTGAAAACTCACGTTTTTAACATGACTATACATAGCTAACATTACCAGAGTTATCAAAACGCCCAGTGTGCATGGAGCCTCAAGGAACAGAAAAGGCAATGCTATATTTCCAGAGGAATTTGAGGAAAAAAAGGTATATTTTTCAAGGTGTTTTATATAAGGCAGCAAATCTTTCTCTTTTGAGTTAAGATCCACTTAAAGTTTTTCAACTGATATTTGTGTCAGGAAAATGACAAATTAAATACAGAGGAGAATTACCAAAATTGAGATGTATAAGACCACTCTTTTGAATACACTTCCAGTTTTAAGACCTGCCTGCCCAAGAAAGACTCAGCAAAATGGGTATGGTTGTGCATATGCAGAGCATGGCTTGAGGGAATTAAAAACTAGACTTGCAGTATGTAAATTATTTAGTGCGAGGATGTTGAAAGAAATTGTGTTGCAGTATCAGTGAAATGGAAACTGAAAAGTGATTCTAATTACAGAATGTTTTCCGAATGCATGTGCAAAAGCTTTAAGGGTCTTGAACCTAAATTGTTGGGATATACAATGTACAGTATATATGGTATTATATATATATAATTCTGTCACCAATCACCCTACACCTCCAACTGATTTTGTGATATTTCTTTATTTTTCATTTAGAAGAGAACTGTAGTGTGGCTGAGGGAAAGCATCTCCTATCATAATGCTCAAGTATGCACATATGCAGGATATATTTGCACAAAAAATAATAATAATCTCTATGGTTTTCCTCCTCCAGTACTGACAGTCCAGTTCTGTCCCTTGCAGCTCCATTTGCTGTCCTCCTTTTTGTCCTTTGGACAACCATTGATGATACAACTTCTATGCATGCACTTTGGAGTTGCATCATCCTGGCTCTATTCTTGGAGCCTTATAGATGCTTGGAATAGGCCGTGAGTGTAGACTGCACAGTGCATGTGCTAGAAGCCTGCTTTCATTTTCAACTCTAAATCTTCAGACACTTTTGAAAGCCAGAGTACTCTACTCTTTCCTCACTGGACTCAGTGAGAGCAGCAGGAGCTATTGGCTGCTGTCATTCAAATCCAATGACAATGGAGCAGGGGGTGGTACTGAGCTGTACTGTGTGTGTCTGTCACGGATTCACCCACACGCCACGCCCACAGCGACTAGCTAACCGAGGCTCGCACGTGCAGCCGTGACTTGGGGTAATAAGGGGGACTTAACTTTAAATATATAAACGTATATAAGACCGGCCGTGATATACTTCCACAGCCCGCACTACCTGCCACCACCGGAGGGAGACTCCACTCCAATCCAGGGGTCAACCACACACTGGCAGATACAAATCTTATATACAATCTGGTGCACTGATTAGAGTTGAGGAGCAGCTTACCAATCACACACCCTTCTAGGATTCCTCCAGCTATCCTACAAGCCAGAACCCCGGTGTTAATCACTCTTCCACTGTCCACACATCCCCACACCAGACACACCAGAAAACGGTAGCTTGCCACCACCCAACAGTTTATCCGCAGAACGGTCTGTTGACACACCACACACACACAGATCTCCGTCTGGCATACCTGTTACCTTTACAATCTGCACACAATCTGCCAACATGCAGTGCAATTGCATACAGATTGGCAATGAGCTTGACTGAGCTTATAAAGACACTAACATACAATACAATCTAATCTCTCCGGAGATATAAGCCCGTGTTTAAATACACAGAAGTCACTTATTAATTTTAAGATATAATATCCCGAAAGTGGGCAGTGCATAAAAGATGTACAAGGTATAAAAAGTTACAGAAAATACAAGAAGACACACATAGACTATTCACTATAAAATAAAAGGGAATAAAACGGAATACAACTTTTACCAAGATTTACCCTGCGACTGGAGCAAGTCAGAGAGTCTGTAATCCGTTAGTCGATCGAACCAGCTCCATATGAATTACAATGTCCCAATGTCAGGGTCCTCAATGTAAGGGGATATGGACGTATGCGGGACATTAGTTCTTGGCCAATTGATTCTGGGGGGTGTTCCTGTACCCGCCCACAGGATGTTCTGGGTGCTGAACTGCCCAAAGTCAATTGGACCGAGACCAGCTTGAATCACCAAGTCGGGGATTGAATTTCGCTATTGATTACGCTATCCAAAATGAAAAAAAAAAAAAAAACATTTTGCCCATAGTTCTTCTTAAGTTTATACTTTTTACTAAATCTGGAGTTCTCCATAAACTATTATACTGACAGCCATGATAACATTAGGTTTATGGACAGGAACAGTGTTGGTGTTTTCAATACAGTGGCCTGCAATATCATGTATTCCTTGACTATGATTCCTTTTAGTGATAGGACTCACATTATACATTATTAAAGGACATTAATGATACAAGAGAAACTTGAGTGAAGATTTATGTAACTGGGCATTGTAAAATTTTAACAGCCCTGCTAGCCATTTGCTGCAGAAATCACTGTAGATAGTACATGAAGTGAATAACTACAGGTGAATTTCAGTACAGAGTAAAACTTTTTTTAGATGGTCTTTCTGGGAGCAGTGGCAGTTTGTAGAGCATATGATAGCTTCATACAGTATTATTCTATTACACGTTGACATTCAAGGAAATCATTTATTTCCCACACAGCCTAAATTCAGCAAAGACACAATTTCATGTATCACATATAAGGTTACATCATATGTGAGCTTTAACATGTTACAGCAGAACTTCACTCCCTCAATCAAAATGAACTATTTTTAATCCTGATGCTGCTATCATTAGTAAATTGATAGGAAGGTATATTATATTTTCTTGTTTTAAACTTTTTTTTTTTGTTAGATTTCTTCAGTTTCTTCCTGGCAAATGATATCATACATCCCAGGAGTCTTCAGGTTTCAGCTAAGCACACCCTCCTGCCTGCATGCTTGAGCCAAGGGCAGACTGATTCCAGGAATTAAATGCTACATGAATCATCTGCCCTTAATCAAGATGGCCACAACCAGAAATGCTTGGGGGTGTTTTTCTAAATGATTTCTCACCAAAATAAAGCATGGAGACATGGATGGATGGGGGAGTTTGAATGAATATTAGAGATGAATGAAATTGCGTTTTTAGCTTGTGGTGCTCAGATGCAGCGTAGTTCTGCTTTAAGGCCAAAATTTGTTCTTACCATTTTAAAGTGTTACTAAACCCAGGACCCTGCATTCACTATATCTGGTCTCCCACAGTACACAGAACATGGAAATGCAATTATTTTAGTGAATATAAACTGCTAAATACTTTTTCTCATCAACGGTTAGAGCAGTCTTGTGACTTCTATCAGTGTCCAGCTGAGCACTGGTTACAGCTTGTAGGAAGAATTTTGCTCCATTTTGCTCTAGGAGGATGCAAAATCCCTGACCCTCTGTCTGGACAGTTCTGGTTGGCCCAGTGCTGATCACATGCATGCAGGGGCGGACTGACCATTTGCAAACTCGGGCACTGCCCGAGGGCCCGGGTTCAGTAGGGGGCCCCATGAGATGCCCTGGTACCTTTTTCATAGCCTTTTTTGAGTTTGGGCAAGGGCACAGGGGCCCCATGATCCCCTATTGCCCAGGGCCCCATGAGTTTTTCAGTCCGCCTCTGATCACATGCACTCTCCCAACAAAAAAAAACCCCTCTCTAGCAATACACACCAAACTGAGCATGTGCAGAGTGTCTCCACACATATGTCTTATCAGCAGATAAGAGGGGGACACTGGAAGAAGGGGAGAATCAGAGAAGAGAGGCTCAAACTTCCTTTTTACACAATGCAGAGGATTAACCCCTTAGGTTCTACAGTGAGTATAACAAGCATGCTTTACTACATATACAGACTGATTTTACTGTTGTGGGTTTAGTAACACTTTAAGATCTGCAGCTCTCAGTAAAATAATACCTGGTAATCCTGTCACGCATGTCCTAGTTCAGGCACCTCTTGTTATAGGGTGACAACGCTTTTTCCCTGTCTTCCAGTTATGCTTCTTTGTTGTCACCGAGTTACATGGGCTTACAATGGAGACTGCAAATGCCTGTCCCAAGATATTATTACACAGACGTGGTGCATTGTTTTCAACATCAAGAGACCCATTGTGAAAACACACACACAGATTATCAGAACTGAGATACAACAAATGAGGAAGAAAAAAAAATAAAAAGTATATTATTTAAAAGAAAAGTTAATTATTTATGATAGACAGTGCTAGACAGCAAGCTAAATTCCATACTGATAGGGTTCTTCAGGGCCTTATCTGGGGAAATTGTATCTCACATACAGTAAGCAAGTCAAACTCATTCATAATTTAACCTTTGACGCTGACCGCACGCATATATGTGGGCCTTAATGCCGAGCGACCACATAAATGCGGCCCTGTTAAAACTACTTACCTGCTGAGAACACGCTCCCTGCAGGCTCCCAGCATGGTTGCCGGTGGTGAATGGTAAGCTCCCAATCCATACTTGCGATTGGTAACTTTCTGATCATGTAACCGCTGTAACAGCCCGTCACAGCGGTCAGATGACCCAAAGGCTCGCCTGCGCCTCCTGGCTTTTAGAACCCTTAAAGAACCAGGAGGCAGTTGGCTCCAAGAGGTTAATTAACAATATATCCATAACAGAGAGTGATTGATTCACATGGTGTGCTGTCATTGCAGTCTGATCCACCTCTGCACCTCTGACAGTGCAGTCGCTCCAGGCTCCAGCTACTTTCCTTTGCAGTGCTTGCACTACATTGCTGTGAGCATAACAATGTTTCTTTCCCCTGTCTTTCCAGTCTACACAAGTCGAAAACTTTTCCATCAGAGTCCCTCCTTTCACATCAGGATCACCCTTCATATTAGGAGCCCTCGTCACATGAGAGTCCTTGCCCTTTTTGCATCAGGAGCCTCCTTCACATTACAGTCCCCTATATGCCTCAGAAGCAGGGGCGAACTGACCATTCCAGCACTCAGGCACTGTCCAAGGGCCCAGGGTCAGTAGGGGGCCCCATGAAATGCCCCTGGTACCTTTTTTATAGGCTTTTTTGAGTGTGGGCAAGAACACGGGCCCCATGATCCCCTATTGCCCGGGGGCCCCATGAGTTATCAGTCCGCCCCTGCTCAGAAGCATCCCTTTACATCAGAGTTCCCTTTGCATCAGAGCCCCCCACTCACCAATGACCTCAGAGCCTCCTCATATCAGTGACCTTAGAGCCCCTTACATTAGAGTCACTTCAGCTCCCCCCCCCCCCCCCCATCAGATGCCTTAATACAGCAGCAGCATCATGGCAAAATGTTGAGTGTGGAGATGAATGCTGCCCACCTTGGAATCAGCATCGTGCATGTCCATGGTGCAGGTGGGCAGACTCGTAAGTGTGGTGTGATGCCATTAAGTAGAGCATGCATATCAAAGTCCTCGGAGTCCAGAGTTCCAGTGCCGACAGGCTGCCATACACAACTCAAATAAATTCAAGCTGTGTATGTCCTCTTTAAGAGAAATCCTATGCAGATAGGGACCAAAAAAACAAACCTGCAAAAATATGATGACTCAAATTATATTTTGTGTCCAATCAATATGAACTTTATAGAAAATCTGAAAGGTGGTATGAGTTACCTTGAGCTAGGGACTTTTCTAGAGTCCTAGTAGACCTGGAGCACCTCTAGGCACACAGATTAAAATGTTGAGGGGCTGGTAGGAAACCATAATTACCACTTTGGAATAAATATAAGACTCATGTTATCTTTTTATTTGAACAAAAATAAATTGGTCTAAAAACTAATGTCACATATTGGTGACAAAATGAATAACAGATGGCCTGAAAAGTAGATACGGTATACAATATTCCAACACATTATAGTGCATAGAATCTCCGTATCTCAAAGGAGACCGGCAACATGCATTAGAAGACCAAGGGCATGTGCCAAAGGTGCCAGGGATGGAAATTTCAGGAAATACAAGTCTCTTAGTGAGGAATTGAGGTAGCGAACTCAGTGCTAACTCAGTGTCAGCAAGCTACATTTTTTTTTTTAATGAATCTGTTTTTTTCCAGTACAAGTGCAAGAAAGACAAAGGATCCATCTCATATGTTAGAAGGTTTAATAAAGTGAAAGATTAACAGCAATAAAAATTAGCTCTATTTTTTTTTTTCTGGCAGTTACAATTTTTATTTTTAAGTCCCTGCCTTCTACCTTCTGCCCCATTGGTGTCACTGTTGTTTAAATTAGTTCCCTACAATGACTTGACAATTGTTTTTCCTTATACAGTATATTCATTCTAATGGCCTTGTGGTTATCCCTGGAGATGCAGCTTTCCTTCTATCAACAGACAACATTGTCAATTTCAGTTTGATTGGGAAACATATTATTAAATACATTATATAACATTTACTAAGAGAACCTAGTTTTGTTCCTCTTTTTTACCTTTAGACTGAAATAAACAATAAAATTATTTTGTATACATTTTGTTTCCCTTTTTTTTTTTTACATATGTTCGTAGTTTTATCCTAACATGTTTAAGACCCGATTCACATATATGCGAAATGAATGCATTGTGAACCAGATGCGATTTTTGTGACATGTAAACTAAAAGCTTTTTCTATGTAGCCGGTTCACATGTGTGGGCCAGCTGCAGTGCAATTTAAAAAAGTATGATTTTCGGCCCAGTTCAGGCGAGCTTTCCAATGTCATACACTTTAACAATTTGCATTGACATTGAACTTGAACCTCTGAATGAAACAGCACTGGACAAATCGCAGTGCAAAACTGGCCCTGCACATATGTGAATCCAGACTAAAAGGGAGCAGATATATTTCTTTATTCATAAATATATATATATATATATATATAAAGTTTGAAACTGTATTGTGTGCCACTTTGTACATATACAAATGAGTATAGGTTCATCACTTGATAGACCTCAAAGTATCAACAGACATCATATACATTCCACCGGACAGCCAGGGTTGACACAGGCCTATATAATATCGCAGAGCAGAAGGCTTCAAGGCTTCAACTTTTTTTAGTAAATGAGATAGAACAGACAGTGCCGCATGAAAATTCCTACTGCTTGTACAATAAGGCACCTAGATGATGGATATACAGCTATAGAAGCAGTTTGTAGCAGGGAACATACAGTGATGCTTTAGGTAATTGCATTTACAAATGTAATTCCTATATTTATCAGGTTGATATAATGTGACAAAATATTAAACATATATTTCTGAATTTTCATTGGAAAGCTTAATTTTCCTGACTGAGAAAAAAATCTGCTGTTTGCATACATTTTCCATAGCCTGAACTACATTTACAAACAGTAGAGAAAAGGACATGAAGATTTTGTAACAGCGATTATGCGAAATTACAATTTTTCCAGTTTGATGCAATTTCACAATGAAGCTTTCAAAAAGTTAAGACTTTCCTTTATGTTGATTCCTTTTTTGCAGGATTTCTCTGCCCTAGATGATGTTTAGGAATATGGGGGTGCAGTTAGGGCCTGATTTAGGCCCCTCATACACAGAGTTGGTTTAATTTCTCAATGACAGTAACACATTTTTAAAATGCATGTCACAAAGTCCTTTTGAGGTCACGCGTATTTAGTCATAGGCCACCTTTCTTAAGAGCTTAAGCACTTTATGGGGTTAACCAGTCTAAAGGCAAACAGACTTTGCAAATGCAGTTGCACTGATTTTCTCCAATCCAATCATGTGCAATTTCCTTGCACCTGAATGGACATTCTTTACAACGTGAAGCTTTGCCAAATTTACATTTACAAAGAAAAAAAGAGTGCAACTGCACTTGCAAAGATATTTTAGAAAAAAATCTGTCCTATCTATCTATCTATCTATCTATCTATCTATCTATCTATCTATCTATCTATCTATCTATCTATCTATCTTTCTACTATAACAGGACCTTTGAAAGTATACTTAGGTATTTCAAAAACAAGGGATCATTTGGAAAACAACATTTATACACAATTAGACCATATGTCACGGTGTACTGGAGATAACATGATGCACTCCAGGGAATACTCGGTAATCCTGGCTATTAAAAAGCAGAGCAAATGCTATTATACTCAAGAAACACTGAGATATTGCCATTGGTGTATTGTATCTCTTTCACAGGGTAACCCCCTCACAATCTGAACATGCAAATACAGTATATATTCTGACAGAAAAATTAGGTATAACATGGATAAAAAGTGTTACTACTTCCAAATTACTGCAAGTGATGTACAGTTGTGTTCAAAATAATAGCAGTCAGACATCACTAACCTGATCAATCACTGTTTTTGGTAGAAATGATATTTCTACATGGCAAATAATTTACTAGCAGGTGTAGTAGAGTAATAGAAATCCAACAGACCCAACAGTCATGACATGCATGCTGCTGATTCTGTGTAATTGAATCACTAATTGAAAGGGGTATGTTCAAAATAATAGCAGTGTGGAGTTCTATTAGTGAGGTCATTCATTCTTTGAAAAACAGGTGGCAATTATTGCCCTTATTTAAGGAAGGAAGGCAGCAAATGTTGTACATGCTGGTTACAGTGCATTTCTCTCTGAAATTCTGAGGAAAATGGGTTGTTCCAGACATTGTTCAGAAGAACAGCGTACCTTGATTAAAAAGTTGATTGGAGAGGGGAAAACATATAAAGAAGTGCAGAAAATGATAGGCTGCTCAGCTAAAATGATCGCAAATGCTTTAAAATGGCAACCAAACCTGAAAGACGTGGAAGAAAGCAAAAAACTACCATTCGAATGGATAGAGGAATAGCCAAAAGGGCAAGGACTCAGCCAACAATCAGCTCCAGGAAGATCAAAGAAGGTCTAAAGTTA